TATAACTGTTCCTGTAATAAAAAGAACTTGAAATAGCAACTTTTGAGCAGGAATGCAAGAAACCGATGCAATCTGTAAAGCCAAAGACGTGACAGAGGCAAGAATAAATGACTGCGTGATTCTAAGGAGAAGATGTAGTACAGATGTGGATTTAACGCAATTACCCTAGAAGATCATGTTTAATAATTAATATCTGTATGCAGGGTTTGAATAGGGTTGGTGTATAGTTAGAAAAACCTGTTCTTTATATTGGTAACATGAGAAGTCTAAAATAATTAATAAAATGAATATTAAAACATGGTTACTATTTAATTAGGTGTAGGAAAAAAGAACCGTATCTTATAAATAATTGAGATTTTAAATGTTTTAGATATATCAAACCGGCCAACACAGTTTAAGAAAAAGACTGGTAGTTAGACCGGATTGAATAACCAATACTAACATGTAGGTATCGGCAGTTAACTGACCGAACAGGGAATATGCGTTTACATTTAAAATTTGTGTAAATGAAATTCATGAATTTACTTAGCATGGTTTAAAAGAATTAACCGTAATAGGGATTTGTACCGTGCGTTCGTTTAAACCGTACAAATAGATCAGTACTGAATGAGAAAATAGCGAGGGGTGAATAGGATTATCATCTAACGTTAAGGATGCACGAACGGGTAAGTACGAGGTTCGTGCGTATGACCGAACAGTAACACAGAAATACAACGATTAATATGAGCGTTTATACTTATACATAGTTCGGCAGATTTCTGTACGAATACGTGAACGATGCATAAGTGTAACGGGCGTTCGTCCGTTTTGGCGTGAACGCTGAATACGTTAACCGAGCATGGTTAAAGAAGATAGAGGGAGCCTACCCCTACGTTTTTAGGCCCGAACGGAGGGAAATAGCCGAATGCTATTTCCTTCACTTAGCTTACGTGAGCATGCCGGTCTCGTGACCGGGAGGAAAACCACGCTGGGGCCTCAGAATGGACGGAGGATTGCTCTGGACCTCTTGCTGCAGGAGACTGAAGCTGTTCTGGCGGGAATCTCGGACCGGAAGTGCTGGTTGCTATGGGGATAGACAATATGCTGAACGGCAGAGGTGAGTAGGGGCTGGGAGTTTAAGTAGGGGACTTACCCCTCCCACAAATTCAGGCCTAATGGCCTTTCTACACATATATATATATATTTATTTTTCTAATATAAAATATTGGTACTTTCAAAGTAAAATGTGTAATTATACAGTAAGCATACTCACATACAGACACCGACAATCTCACATGTCACACAAACTCATTGATATACAGTCTCATAGACAAACAATCTCACTGATATACATAAGCTCATTGACAAAAACACAAGCTCACAGATGCACACACATAGGCTCACTGCCAGACAATCTCACTGACACACACAGACAAGCTTATTGGTATACACACAAACGTAGTACAGACAAACTCTGACACGCATGCTCACTACAGACAAGCTCACTGTCACACAAATGCTCACTACAGACACGTTCACTGACACACACATCCTACAGAAAAGCTTGTAATAAACATGGTCTAGATATTCTGTGGCCACCCTTTACTTTTTCCTGCAAATAAGTCATTGGCACAATGCCACACCTACAATGGAACAGATATGATGATATGCTTCTAAAACCTCGCTTTAGAGGGATCTGGTTATATATGCAGTGGAGAACCCCAGGCTTTATCAAACTGTTCCAAAACAATCTGACAGAATTCATGAGCAGTATGCACCGATTAGTAGAGCTGTAACCAATGACACAGGTACACGCACAAGCTCAGTCACTAAAAGGCACACACACACAAGCTCACTCACTAGCAGGCATACACACACACACGCTCACTCACTAGCAAGCACACACACACATGCAAGCTCACTCACTAGCAGGCACACACACACACAGCTTAATGTAAGGGTTCTGGTGTCTATAGCCTGTCCCTGCAGGCTTTTCAATGTAAACACTGACTTTTCAGAGAAAAGGCAGTGTTTACATTGCTTCCTAGTGACACCTCTAGTGACAGTCACTCAGACAGTCACTAAAGGTGCTTCCTGTGTCAGTGCTGCAATCTATGAGGAGATGCTGATTGGTGTAGCGTTTTGCAGCCAATTCTATGGCAAAACATTGAATTGGCTGAGATCATCAAGCTTGACAATCTCAGCCATAGAGGTAGGGCCAGTCGAAGGGGAGACCAGCACGGCGTGGGGAAAAAAAAGGTGAGTAAAAACAATATTCCCTTGCCAATGGAAGGGGTCTGGTAACCTAAACACACACACAGACACACACATACACCATGACACACACACCATGACAGACACACACACACAAAGACACACTATGACAGACACACACCAAGACAGACAGACACACACACCACAGACCCATACACTCACACTGACAGACTGACTCACACATTATTGCTTGTATTGATACCTGTGGGCATAGGCGTGCGCACGGGGTGTGCCAGGTGTGCCTGGGCACACCCTAATCCCCGCAGCACGCCTGTGAGTCCTGCAGGCACTCTGCTGCCCCCAAATGCCCTCATCCTCCCCCGTGTTCCCCTTGTCATTGGGGGGTGCCAAGAGGTGATACCCCCTCCCGCCCCCCCGGTTGGGCGCCTATCTCCATCTCAGCCACGGTGAGGGATTATGGATGTGGGTGGCATGCTGGGTGGTGGCCGGGCAGGGTCGGCGACTGGCTGCGTGAATAGTAGACACGAATAGGGAGCTGTGCTGTCTCTGCTCTGCTCCCCAGCGCGCAGCTTAATGAGACTGATATACAGGATATACATTAAGTAGCGCGCGAGGGCGGGAGAGCAGAGCAGAGAGAACACAGGTCTCCCTCCGGCTGTCAGCAGCCTAATTACGGCCGCACCAGCGGTCTGCCCAGCCCCAGGTGCCGTGGCCCACCAGGAAATTTACCTGTATCCCGGTGGGCCAGTCAGGCCCTGAGGACAAACCCAAAATACACCACTGGCTACAGTCAGTGCATGGCTATTTTAGCCTCAGTTTTGCTATTCAGATAGTAATTTGCTGCAATTGCGGTGAGGAGGGTGGGATGACCTGAACGAGAACGATCCAGGTAAGAGGGTAATTAGGGTTTTTATAGGATAAGAAAGATTCAAACTCCTCCCACAAATACAGGCCTATGCCCTTAAAACATATATATATATATATATATATATATATATATATATATATATATATCTTTACTAATTATTTTAGATATATGGGTCACCTAGTTGTTAGTACGGGTTAGCATATTTTACATACTGATGCTCGGCTTCGATATATTCAATAACTGACAGGATTATTTACTACATAGCAAAGAGAAAGTTAAAGGACTGTGCATGCATTATATGAGAGTATTTCCAAGGTATCCTACAGACAGAAGTTTCATAACTTAAATTCCGAAGCATAAAGGAGGAAAAGGTCCGAGCATATGAGGATTATTCCAAGCAGTGGTTTAATGGAAACTAAAAGGCAATGTTTCAACTCAACAAATGAGTCTTTGATAAAGACAATGAAAAGAAAAGTTGCCTTTTAATTTCCAATAAAAGTATGGTTGGAATAATCCTCGTGTGCCTTCATCTCAATTTACGGTTGAAATTGTCAAAATGGAAAAAAAAAAGGTTGTTATACTTTCAATTTGGCTATCCTGTCCTCAAATTTTAAATTCACTTTAAATTCTCACTTTAGTGCATAATCCTGTGTGTCATTTTTCTCTCATTTTCAGATTTTTCTAATTTTCTCTCAGCTGACAGTCGCTAGTGCCTGTCAACTGGCAGATATTGACAGACAGCCATATTGAATTTCTTCATGAATGCGTCCAGTGCACTGGATGACTCTCAACGAGAAGAATTCGATTGGTGGTTCCTGTGCATATATCCTGTATATCAACCTTTGTCACTCCAGATGTTGTGGAATATATCTCCCTCAAAAAGACACTCCGATCAACATAACTATCTAAATGAAGTTGTTATGGTGTCACAAGGCACCTGTGCCTTGCCTTCAGTGCCAATCTCCAGGTCCCTCAGGAGTCATCTGGCTTCTGAATCGGGGTTACAAAAAGCACAAAGTGCCGCTGGGCAGGGGCGCAGCTAATTGGCTACAGTGGTCAGCTGACACCCTAAGCCAATCAGTAACTCCCCAAAACAAAGATACCTGCTTAAAGCGTCAACTGACGCTTTAAGCCAATAAGTAACTCCCTATGCATAAAAAAAGGTATGTAGCTTTTAAAAGCCCTGGTGACCTCTCTTCCCCCGCCGATGTCAGCTCCCGAGTGGAGCGGAATGCGCGTCAAGAGCTGCGCGCGTATTCTAACAGTCCATATGAAAGCATTTCTCAATGCTTTCTTATGGACGTTCTGCACCTTTGCTGCGAATTTCGCATCCAGCATCGCAGAAGTGCCTCTAGCGGCTGTCAGGAAGACAGCCACTAGAGGTTGGATTAACCCTGCTATGTAAACTGCTATGTTTACATGTGAAGGGTTAAAACCTGAGGCACATTGCACCCAGACCACTTCATTGAGCTGAAGTGGTCTGGGTGACTATAGTGTCCCTTTAATGTAAGAGTGCTTTAATTTAAAAAAAAATTGTTATGGTAACCGGAGTGTCTCTTTAATGAATCAAAAAAGATGTCCACAATATCTGGAGTGCCGCACCCTGTCATGCCCTATAACCTCAATAACTGTACCACTGCTGGAAATAGTTTTTTGAGATTTTTAACTCAACTTTTAACTTTTTTTTTTTAAAGCTAAAAAAGGGCTAGGGCCTAGTTTTCTAAACACAGTAAGGAACCTTCTAACATTAACATGAAATGCCTTTACGTTTAACGTTAGTGTTCCTTTAAAAAACTTTGTTTCTTCGACAGTAGCTCCAACCCACAAAATTCTAATATACACTGCCACCTAGTGGTCAATCATGGGAACTGCACCAACAGTGAGCGGCTGAGTGGCCTGCAGCCTGGCGGGAGGGGCGGGCTGTGCAGAGCGCGGGAGGTTTTAGTGTGGCGGGAAGGCGTCCGGTTACCGATCACATCGTAGGGGGGGGGAGACCCGGGGGAACATGGAGCGAGTTCCCGAGCTGTACGTGCAGTGTGACACACGGAGACCGCCTGTCAGGCTTAGCCGGTAATATAGACCTTATTTACTAATAATGATACATTGCACCGTTACCATCAGTCAGATCTCAGCATGACCTGTCCATCATGGGCTATAATTACCAGGAAATAATTATATTTATATTGCGATATAATAATCTATATCCCTTTTGTACAGCGCTACGGAATCTGATGGCGCTATATAAATAATAAAATAATAATATCCCCTCCATGCACCTGTTACCCCAGTGATCAGACCTCCTCCCCTTTAATAGGATGGTGTCAGCACAGCTTGACATAATCTGAATCTTATTATACACTGGGTTATAATTATCAGCATGCTTTTACCGACATTCATACACTGTTAGTAAATTATTCTTGTGTACTTTTTATTCCATGGTTAGAATGCACTAACATTCCATTTATTTTTCTTTTTTTTTTTTTTTCTTTTTTTTTGCATATGCCTGATACATCAACAAAATTTAAATAGTAACTACTAGTACGCTTGAATTTATAAATTTGCAGTAAAGGTTTTATTTGCACTATAAATTTAAGTGTGTGTAGATAAAACTACATTTAAAAAATATATATAATTTTTTTTTTTTTTTTTTTGTAAAGCTGTGTTTAATTCTCCATACACATGTATGCAATGCATAAGGTATCAATTCCCAATAGACACAGGATATATAATAGGATACATTTTTTTTATGGTAAAAAGAAAGCACCATCTGCTTACTAATCTGCATCAAAAAGCACTTGTCTGTGTGTATGTCATATGGTTTGCGGGTTGATTTTCAATTCTGGTTTTGACTGTTTGGCTCTTTGGAATTAGCTGTAATGTGTCAAATTTAGTTCCGCTCACTGCAAATCTGCTTCAGGTCTCCAGTGCGCCTCTATGAGGAATATCAGATTGTACAATCTTGTGCCAGCCTGACTAATGCTGCTGCCGGAGATGGAGTTACACCTCATGCAGCGACATTATCTAATTACGTGCAGCGTTTCACACGGAAGTGCTGTTCATACAAGGTCTAAACACTGAAGTGGTAATGGTGCCTTGAGCATCAGGAGCAATGTAGGCACTATAATCACTTAAGCATATTGAAGTACTTATAGTGACAGGGTACCATCCCTGCTTCATTATATTTGTCCAGTTTGTCAAAAAGAGCAGCAAGATGTCAAATGTAAGTTTTCAGGGATGTTACCCATGTGGTTATGGTGTCTAGAGTGTGTCTTTTAAAGTAACTGATCAATTTACAGGATTATTTGCTACAGTGAATGGGGAATTAAAAGTGAATTTCAACTTTAAGGCGATTCATCTAATTAAGTAATCTTCGTCTAATATTTTAAATTCACATTAAATACCTGACCATTCTCACTTTTAGTGAGTATCCCTGTTTGTGAATACACCTAAATAATTTATTGGAATATTCTCTTTGAATTGCCCTGATGATAACAGTGGTTTTACACTGTAAATGTCTGTCCTCTCTGAAGTATTTGCTGAATTTTTCTTACCCTTGTTCCTTGTACAGATCACATCCCTGCTCACAGAATGCACCCTGTTTTTCGGCCCCTTTGCCATCACCTCTCCCTTCTCAGTTGTTGGTTTTTGGGATGGGGGACTGGTCTGGGTTATCTGCTGATGGCAAAGTAATAGTGACTTTGGAAGGAGGAGCCAAAAAGTACACCCTTGGAACACTGTCAGTGGAGTCTAGGTGAGTTTGTGAATTTTTAAACTCCCACCCCCCTGCAACCTTGAATGTTGGGAAGTAGAGGAGCTCATTCTGTTGTTTTTTCTGCAGATGCTTTATTTGGGAATGTGGCCTTACTAATGATGCCCACTCTCCATTTGAGGAGGGAGAATTACGCATCCAAATGGAGATCCAAGGGCAGGTAATGTATAGATCCTTACTTCTAGTAAATGTTTGTTCTGATAATTATGGTTTGCCAATGCAGCGTTTTTGAATATTTTTACATCATGGTTGTCCTATGCTTAAGGACCCATGATGAAATAATTCTCTCATGCAGCTTTTTACCAGCAGAGACTGTTTCCCATGTATCACTTGATACAATTAGTGGCCCCACACTGACCGATGTTCTGTGGACAGAACTCAGAGTGAGCGTTAAACTCAGCCCTTTAAATTACCATGGATGAAGTTCTATGTTCAGCCATTGCCCGGTGATGTCAACACTCAAGTAACTAGAATAAGAGAAACAGTCCAGGCGCTCAATGATGTCTTAATGTGGCAGATTTAAGGAAGATAATGTTTACATGTAGCAGCAACATTTTGACCTACAAATGAGGTCTTTATCAAGCTTGATAAGGACCTTGTTTGTTTGTAGGTCGAAACGTTGCTTTTACTTGTAAATCCCAGAGCTATGATGCTATCAGAAAATTTGTGACTACTTGGTGTTTTGTTCTGAAATTATGTATCTCATTGTACCACTTCCTAAATGAAGATTTAAAAAAAAAAAAAGCTATGACGAAAGAATGACAAGCACCTTCAAACTAATTTGGCAAAAGCATTTAAGAAAATCAGAATCATGGCAGATTTGCTTGTGAGGCATTAAAATGGTCTGCCAGAGTCGTGGGTTAGGTCACCGTATTAAGAAGGGAAGTTTGATTGAGGAGTTGAACGACAGATGGAGCGCAATAGTCTGTGAGATTTACCTTTTGAAAATGAAAGCTGTTTATCAATTAGAAGACCTAATTAAACAAATGGCAGACTGGAAAATGGAGCTACCACAAGTTAAAAAGAAATCTAAAAGGTGCCAACTCCCACTACCCTTAACCCTGCAACTGTAAATATTGCAGTTTTCATAATTACCTTGCAGGGTTAACTCCTTAACAAGACCTCCCTATAGGAAAGCATTGAAAAATGCTTTCAATGCTTTCCTATGGGGATTTCAGCGACGATGGAGGTTCTCACATAGCGTGAGGACATCCAGCAACGTTATAGCACACTTTTTATGTGCTATAATCACGTTAGTGCCCTCTAGTGGCTGTCTATAGAGGGCACTAACGTGATTATAGCACATAAAGTGTGCTATAACGTTGCTGGATGTCCTCATGCTATGTGATAACCTCCATCGTCGCTGAAATCCCCATTTGAAAGCATTTTTCAATGCTTTCCTATGGGGAGGTCTTGTGCGCGGCATTGCCGCGCATGCGCATCAGGTCTCCCCCGGCGGTCGCGTGTGCTCAAAAGGGCATGAGCGGACCTTGACCCAGCGCTGGATACAGGTAAGTCACTGAAGGGGTTTTAACCACTTCAGCAACCTGGGATGGAGGTTGGGAGGGAGAGGGGACCTGCAGTGCCAGGAAAACAATTTGTTTTCCTGGCATTGGAGAGTCCCTTTAACCCCTTAAGGACCAAACTTCTGGAATAAAAGGGAATCCTGTCATGTCACACATGTCATGTGTCGTTAAGGGGGATATAGATTTTTAGCAAAATGTCAGTTCTCATTTTAAAGGAAGTTGTTTGATAGTTTTCTGGAATGTGAATAAGGCATACTCAACACCAACTTCTCCCCTCAGAAGGGTGGAAAATACACTGGACTGAAGCAGGAACGTGGGAAGAGGAAGAGAATGCAAGAAGAGCAGGAGAATGTTTGCCCTAATAGTGGAAATTTGAATGGTACTACCCAGCAAAAGAACACCAACAAGAGTGGTTCATCCAAAGTCATTACCTCCGTGAAGGGCACTGCGGGTGAGTGGAGTATTTCTTAATGTTTACAAAAACAAGGCATAACAAATAAATAGTGAATTCAAAGCTCCATTTACAGACTGGCTTTGTTGGTTGTTTCCTGAGAGATAAATATTTGATTCACCTTCAGTGTCTGTCCTGTTACTGGTAGATTGAGTTATGATATGCTTTTATAGTATTGATATCATTTGTTTTGTCTGTGTGTAATTTATTTTTCCCCCCCTAATTTCTGTAGCAGGCCCTACAGGAAGATGGGGCCATGCCCTCTGTCCCATTGACTCCAAAACTGTAATTCTTGTTGGTGGACAGGGTACACGTATGCAGTTCTGTAAGGACTCCATGTGGAAGCTTAATACTGGTGGGTAACCTTGCATTGATCTATATATGGACATTCCTAATGCTTGAAGTTCTTCATGTACTCATGCGAGTAAATGTTTATTGGAAGGGATCTTGAATGTGAACTTTCATTATTAATGCCTTTTGAAATCTACTAATTTAGAAGAAGACACTTGGTCTCCAGCAGAGGCTCTGGCAGATGGCCCTTCTCCAGAAGCGCGCACAGGTCATACTGCAGTTTTTGATCCGGAAAGTCAACGGATTTATGTATTTGGCGGTTCAAAGAATAAGAAATGGTTTAATGACGTTCATATCTTGGATACAGAAACTTGGAAGTGGAGCAGTGTGGAGGTCAGTAGGTCAACAATGTGACCATCACGCTTTTCATTTCTATTAGCCTTCTGCTTGTGTTTTTCTACTTTTTCATATTTCCTTTGCACATCATTTATCTCTTTAATTCAGGCCCGGGGAAAAGTTCCGCCTCTTTCATATCATAGTTGTTCTTTGTTTCGAGGAGAAATGTTTGTGTTTGGGGGTGTCTTTCCACGTCCCAACCCAGAACCTGATGGTTGCAGTGATTCGCTTTACATCTTCGATCCGGAACATGAAATTTGGTATCAACCAATTATATTTGGGGAGAAACCTTCTGCGCGCTCTGGGTAAGTAGCATGTGATTAAGACAAATCTATACTTATTTATTTTATTTTGTGTCAAGTTTAAGACTTTACAAACAGAATGGGACATAATACAGAGATGTACATATATTGTTTGTTTATCAAGTCCCTAACATTTAACTTTACTTAATTTTTTTCGCAAACAAGTGATTGCAAAAATAGTAAACTAGTTCGACATGGTGATTCCTGCTAACAAATCATGTAATAGGTTGGATTTGCATTAGTCAGTACTATAAAACTTACTGAGATAGCCACTAGATTGTAATGCTGCATAACAGGCTATATTTGTATTAGCACCACTAAATATTCTGAAATTGCCAGTATATAGTAATGCTGCCTAATAAAACAGAAATGTGTGTGAAAGTACTTTAAAACTTACTGAGACAGCTACTGAATTGGATGCTGCACAACAGGTTAGGTTTGCATGAGTTAAAGGACCACTATAGTGCCAGGAAAACATACTCGTTTTCCTGGCACTATAGTGCCCTGAGGGTGCCTCCACCCTCAGGGTCCCCCTCCCGCCCGGCTCTGGAAGGGGGAAAGAGGGTAAAACTTACCTTTTTTCCAGCGCTGGGCGGAGAGCTCTCCTCCTCCGATCCTCCTTCTCCTCCCCGTCGCCTGAATGCGCACGCGCGGCAAGAGCTGCGCGCGCATTCAGCCGGTCACATAGGTAAGCATTCATAATGCTTTCCGATGGACGCTGGCGTGCTATCACAGTGAGAAGCACGCAAGCGCCTCTAGTGGCTGTCAATGAGACAGCCACTAGAGGAAATAGGGGAAGGCTTAACCCATTCATAAACATAGCCGTTTCTCTGAAACGGCTATGTTTATGAAAAAATGGGTTAACCCTAGCTGGACCTGGCACCCAGACCACTTCATTAAGCTGAAGTGGTCTGGGTGCCTAGAGTGGTCCTTAGATTGGGTGCCTTGGATCAAAAGTTGCCCAGGTGCACTACACAAAGTGAGTGTCTGTGGCCCCGTACATTTTTCAGTCTTACATGCTTTTTAAGATCGTTAATCTTGACTAACTTGAGGAGCTCCCTCAACCTGCGTCTTGTTTGATCAGCGGTCAGGCCCGGCCCCCTATACTTATTTATTTTGCCACTTTTTTTTTTTTTTTTTATTTGGCATGGCTGCTCAATGGGCAATGCATGTATATGTTTAAAGAAACACATAATCAAGAATATGCAGAAATAAGCAACATATTCTTGTCAAGATGACGTGACGGCAAGTATGTTGAAAAATTCACAATTACGAAACCGCCTAAGCATAATCTATAAATTACATGACTGAACAATAACTGCTTCACCAAAGAATGCTAAGGTGGAGGGAAGAGTAATGTGAAGGTAAAGTAATAGCCAAGCAGGAAAAAAATATTTGAATGCAAGAAAAGATAATTAGGCATCGTCTTGGCAGTGATAGAAATTTCTCTCAAAGAATGAACCAAACAATGGAAGTAATTGATCTGGTTTCAACCCATCATCATGAAGAATTTAGGACTGGGGGGGAGGGGGTTAATTTTTTAAAATTATTATTTAGCCTTGGGTACGAGTGCTACAGAGTCCTTGGCTGCACCCTCAAAGTGAACCTGTTTTGAAAAGAAACACCTGGAATCGCTCTCACATACATTGAATATATCATAAAGATGCAGGGTGTATTTAGTGTAAAATATAAAGATTTACTTCTCCTCTGTTAGCATTTAACACTTTAAACAACTGATGTTAACACACACACACCCACCCACCCATCCATCCTCTCATGCTTAAATAATTCTAAATATCCAGTTGTTTAGCCAAGGTCCATATGTGCCATGGACGCTGCAGTGGTAAGAAACACCAATTGCTATACAAGAAAAACGAGAAACCTAGCAGCAGCATTATAGAAAATCACCATTACGGAGTTTGTAGCCCCACCTTGAAATAACAGACTTCTACTATTCTCCCTCAGACATTCTGCCTGCCTGATGCGCAGAGAGCTCTATATATTTGGAGGTTGGGACACTCCTGTGTGTTACAATGACCTTTACCTGCTGGATCTGGGTGAGTACTGTATTGTCACACATGTGTTCATGCTGTTCATTATTTTTGTTTTTCCTGTAGTTACGTTATATGAGCACATAACATATGAAGCAATCCTAGAGGGTCTGAGCCAGCTTGGAGAAGAAAAAAAAAAGTTTCCATTGCAGTTTGTGTTTTGGAACTTCATTTAATCCGAGTTCTCATTCCTAAAATCCTTTTCTATAAATCCTTAAGCCCTAACTATAACAAAACATTTTGTACACCCCACACAAGGAAGGAAGTATTACTTTGCAAAATTGCAGAACATTAATGCAGTTTGTCCCACAATAACGGCAGTATGCATGCTGCTGGTATCATGGGTGTTTTTATGACTTTTATTTATTTGAAGACTTACTTATGCTACATCATTGTGTTGGCATTCTTTGTTTCTTAAAAGTGTAGGAAAACCATTGCTCAACATTTAGACTATTGGGGCAATACTGAGTCTGTTATGACAGTGTCAGTGTAGCAATCATTCAGGTAATATTCTCTCTAGAACATATACGGGACTATAATGAGGAACCTGACTGGAATTTAGTCACTCAGACTCTTCAGAATACCCTAGAAATGCTGATTCCTTATTGAAATTAACTAGACTCCTCCAAAAGACATGGGCAACCTAGTGACAACTCTGTAGTTGTTTTTTTTATTTATTTTATTAAAACTTTTTTTTTTTTTTTTTTTTAAAGCTTAAGATTACGAAGCATAAGGAATTATTTATTGTGAGTCATTGGCAAAGACACTTCTGTTGATGTACAATTTTTTTAAATTTTTAATCAAACCCATACAGAGCGAATATGAGCAAGTTGCATGCATAGTGTTTACTTGGATATTATTTAAAGGTGTTTTAATGTCAACAACGTAAGTCTCTACTACTTAAAGTGGGTATAAACACCGTTCTTGTTTAATACAAAATTCAGTACATCTGTAATACATTTTGGTCACCCATGTAGTATTTTCACAGATCCTTACAAACACACGGAAAGCTGAACTACACAGTTATTTGTTCTGGATATCAGTGATGATGTATTGTTGTTACGTGTGGTCTTATTTAGGAGTGAACGTTTTGTTATGACTATAACTACCTGTAAATCGAAATGCTTCTGATCTTTCATTTTAAAACTTTCCATGAGAGATGTTCTAGGATTTATTTTGCGTAGCAACTGACGTGATCTGCAGAAATCAAACCATTCAATCCTAAGATAAAATGTTAGAAGGTAGTGTACCAATGAAAGGGTACTGGGAGAGAAAGATGGTCTATTAAAGTGCTAAAAGGCTCCACAATAAATATAGGAGTCTAAAGTACAAATCGAGAAACTAGAACCAAAAAATAAATTATTCATACGATATAAAAATAGCAATCACCCTAAGTGCAACACACTAAAATAATAGTGAAAACCTAAAGTTAATAAAATAAATGCAGAGCACAATGGCTCAATATAAGAAGCTCTGAAGTCACAAGATATATAAATCATAAAGCAAAAGCACACGTCTGTGCTAACAGGGAAGCTATGTCTAATGGTACCTAATAATATCTGGGGAGTATAGAGTTAATTCTAATTAATAAAACAGCATAGAATATAAAGCATATGAATCCTATGTATTGCATATGTGGGATACCAGTACTAATTTAAGATGGTAACAAGATATATAATTCCTAGTCCAAAATGCCTAGGGTGCCAGTATAAAGATAGCAGTGGTGATACTGCTAATAGCATTTGAATACCGCATACGATTGACTGTGGATAATGGTTATAGTGCGCATAAGCTGCTAATCTAAAAGCAACAAATGATTTATAGATGTAGGTGCTATACTGGCAATCAACTCCGTGCTGGACATAAGAGATCATCTCATAGTTAAATGAACGGCATAATTAAATAGATGAAAACAAAAAATGATGATTGCTGGTTTTTAGCAGTCATTAGACATTATGCCAAGAAATACAGTTAGAGTTCAGCTAGCGTTGTGTAACTGGAGATGATAGAAGTTACAATGTATCAGTAAGTCAGTAGTGTATACTGAAGGTAATTGTTACAGTATACACGAACTGTCAATATGCGAATAGCAATTGAATATAAGTGTGCTGTGCTGGCAGTAAGCCTCCTACTAGGAAGCATAGTTGATAAAATTAGAGCAGGGAAAAACTGCTATCCCAGAATGGTTCAAAGGTTCTGATCAATTAGGGTAATACAAGCACCATGTAGCTGAAATGCATAGGAATAAGGCTGTGTTTTCCTAGATACAATGATAATTATATACTGGCTATTACTCTCGTGCCTACAAGGGCACCTGAATCTATCTCTGCTGGATAAGTCGTGTTGATTAGACTGAATCAAAAATATATGCTATGATACTGGAATAACACTATAATATTAATATTTTAGTGTGTTGCACTTAGGGTGATTGCTATTTTTTTGCAATTTTTATATCTTATGAATTCTTTTTTGGTTCTAGTTTCTCGATTTGTACTTTAGACTCTTATATGTATTGTGGAGCCTTTTAGCACTTTAATAGACCATCTTTCTCTCCCAGTACCCTTTCATTGTTACACTACCTTCTAACATTTTGTCTATTTCTACTAGGGGTTACCCCCCTTTCTTTAGTGTACTATATTGGGCTGTAGTCAGTGTGTTCTTTGCATTCAATCCTAATGTTTCTAATTTTGTTCCTGGCACTCTTTGCTCTTTCCAGGGCTCATGGAGTTCTCTCCTGTTAAAGTCAATGGATGTTCTCCCTCTCCCCGCTGGTAAGTTAAATAATTCCTTTGTAGTGATAAAAAATAAATGACATACAGTGTGTACTTAAACCTCACATAATACATCGTCTCATCCTTTTATAAATTCAATAACTAAAAATCCAGCCCACTATTATTCAATTGGGTATACCTACCTACATTTTGGAGATCACTCCGATATACCTGCATTTAACCCCTTAAGGATGCAGCTTCAAAAACTGGACTTACCATTAAGGACACAAGCATTTTTTTTGCTGTTTGTGTTCAACCTCCGTTTGCATTTTTCTTATTTATTGCACCAACACATGTTATATATCGTTTTTTAAAGGACAAAAAGGGATTTAATCTGATGTGACATACACATATATAAATTCTTATTATTAAAAAAATGAAAACAATTGTTTGGTTTTTTTCATAGGCAATAACGTGTGTATAATAAGTGCAGCTTAAGGAAAGTCATTTTAAAAATATTAAATTAGTTCTGATTTTCAGAGTACATAATTTCAGCTTATTTTGAAATTTACAGGTCACAAAATACAAGGAGTAAAAAATTTTTTTAATGTGGCGCTATTTTAGAATTTGGCATGTTTGTCTTGTAAGCTTAATAGCCATCACAGAAAGCAAAATTGCCGCACAAAAGTATATATTTATATAAATCACACATCACAGGGTATTTACCAAAGGGTATTCTGACACTTTTTAAGTAGCCATTTCGCCGCCAATCTCTGCTAAATAGTGTAGTAAAATTTTATTTTTTTCAGATTTCTAACATACTCACATAAAACAAGGATTTTTAATGTGTATTTCATAAAGCTGATATATACTACTGCTGTAGAAAACCCCATATTGTTTTCAGCCATATCAACTGAGTAAAATGATATCCCCAATCTATGCCTTTGCCACTTTCCTGTGAAGTTACAAAAAGAGACCTGACCATTTCAGTTTTCACAGTGATAATTTTGATAGATGAATTTGAATGGGGCAAGTCTTATTTTGGGGCATTGTAGCAGTTTAACTGTTGAATTTATCCCTCAAGGACCTACTATTGGTGAAAGTAGACACTACAGTGTATCACATATGGTGTATATTGTGCCTTAACGTGATGCCATTTTTTCACCAGTTTATGTCAAACTTTGTGGTAAAATATATATTTTTTCATTTTTTACATACACGTTACATTTTTTGGGGTCGTTTTTCAAGTCTGGTATGTGCCACTGTGATCAAAATCCCATAATTATGCTCGGCAAACTCTTCTGAATAAAACAATACCCCCAATGTATGTCTTTTCCACTATCATGTGAAGCTACAGTGCCTTAAAAGAGTCCTGACCATTACAGTTTTTACAATTAGAATTTTGATAAATGGATTTGATGTGTCTATATCACATTTTAGGGCATTGTAGCAGTTTTACAGTTACCCCAATTACCCCATAAGTGTATACCATTTGTGAAAGTAGACACCACGGGCTATGTCATATGGTATATTTTGAGCTTTATTATACAGTTATGTCAGTACCAATTTCTTTCAAATTTTATCATTTTTATTTTTGCATTTTTATACGCACATGTTGTATTTTAGTGGTTAATTTTGGAAACTTGATATATGCTACTGTAAATTAAATCACTAAATTATTCTCAGCTATATTTCCTGAGTACAAAATGACCCCCTTTGTACACCTTAGCCAGGTTTTTGTGAAAAAATACAGGGCTAAAATCATATCCGGCCCATTACAGTTTTTTTTAAATGGCAAATTGACGAATGGTCATTGTTTCATTTTGGGGCATTTTAGTCGCTCATATATTTAAATTACGCCACCAATGCATACCATTTACAAAAGTGGACACCATGGGGACCCTCACATAAAATATTATAAGCTTTATTGAAGTGACATTTTGTTACCATTTTGTTTCAAAGTTTGTGGTATTCTTTTTTATTTTAACATTTTTACACACACAGAGTATTTTTGATTCTTATTTTTTAAATCTCGTGTGTCCCACTGTCATAAAATTATCTTAGCTGTACTCAGCAACATCTTCTCAGTACAAATATACCCCATATGTATATCTTTGGAAAGTAGCGATCATAATCTTAATCCCAATCTAAATCCCTAATCCTAAACCAAGCCCTAATTCTAAACCAAATCCTAATCCCAAATCTAACCCTCAATCTAATAATAAACCCTTACCACAATCCTAACCCATAACGTAATCCCATGTGTAACCCTAATTATAACCTTAATCCTAATCTCAATCCTACCTTTAGCAATAGTGTTAAAATGATTCCCCCTGCTGGTGTCAGCAGAGGAATTCCCTTGCTATATTCAGCAAGGGATGCCCGTGCTGACCCTAATCCCATAATCTGAACTATAATCTGAAACATAATCCCAATACTACAATTAATTATAAACCTAATCTTAAACATAAACTTAATAATAAACCCAATAATAAACCTGATAATAAATCTAGTTCTTATGCTAAACCGAATAATAATCCTTAATTGTAATCCTTAATTTAATCTTAATCTCAAAGGTTTCCCTCTACTAATATCAGTACTGATATTAGTAAAGGGATTTTAAACTAAAACACAGTGGTATGTTGCTGCCATCTACTGGCTATTTTTAGTATTGCAGTCTCCCATCTCTTACATTGAAGACATTATGCCCAATGCAATGCGATCTGTGCTGGGCAACTGAAAATGCCCAGCACTGATCAGAATGGCATTGGGGCATAGAGGGTGACCCTCCCCTTTTTCCTCTTGATCTGCGAGAGTGCATGCAATCATGACTTTTCAATGCTTCTCAATAAGATGTAGTACAGCTCATTGAGAAGTGGGCAAGGCAGGCACCCCCTAGCCTCTTGGCTCCAAAGTGGAAGAAACCGGGAGGCTGACTAAGTGACCGCATTGGAGGCATTGTAGCATTAATTTGAGTGTTTAGGGATCCTGGAAATGGAGGGGTTGCAGGCCCAGTCAATATTGATAGCTTGGTTTAATGTCAAGAAATCTGGTTTCAGTTTTGCTAGTTCTTTCTTTGGTGCTTAACTGCATGTTTGAAAAATAACAATGCTCTCCTCAGTGTTTCACCTCTGTCATGTATCAATATGCACAAATAATTATCTCTTTGCTTGAGTTATCTGCTCACTCTGGTTTACTTTATACTGCCATTCTTCCAATAAAGGGACTCTAAAAGCACTAAAACAACTTGAGGTTAATGTAGCCATTTTGTCGTATAGATCATACCCCTGTAGTCTCACTGCCCAATTCTCTGCCATTCATTAGTTAAATTACTTCGTTTATGGAGCTGTAGTCATACCTCCCTGCATGTCACCTATAGAGCTTTCCTAAACACTTCCTGTAAAGAGAGATCAAATGTTTTAACTTAATTTATTGCACATTCTGTTTAATTTAGAATTCATTATCTCCTGCTCTATTAAGTCTTTTGTAGCCTCCTGTGTGATTAAAGTTTCAATTTACAGAGCAGGTGATAAAACCTTCTAAAGTACGTTAACATCTGATTGAAAACAAAACCCTTTTTTTATGCAAGCTGTGAGATTCAAGTGTGGCTTAGAGCTTCATGGGAGAAACTAAAATGACTTAACTAAATGGCAATAAATTCAGCAGTGAGATTGCAGGGACTTGATCTATACACAAAAAACTTCATTAAAGGACCACTATAGGCACCCAGACCACTTCAGCTTAATGAAGTGGTCTGGGTGCCAGGTCCAGCTAGGTTTAACCCTTTTTTTCTATAAAGATTTTCAGTGAGCAGACGCCAGCGTCCATAGGAAAGCATTGAGAATGCTTTCCTATGGACTGGGTGAATGCGCGTGGCTCCTGCCGCGCATGCAGCCGATGACGTCGCTATGGAGGAGGAGAGTCCCCCGCCCGGCGCTGGAGAAAGAGGTAAGTGTAACCCCTTCCTCCCCCTAGAGCCCGGTGGGAGGGGGACCCTGAAGGTGGGGGCACCCTCAGGGCACTATAGTGCCAGGAAAACCAGTGTTTTCCTGGCACTATAGTGGTCCTTTAAGATAGTTATTTTGATGCCTATGGTGTCCCTTTAATGGTTAAACAGTTTTTAAAAAAAAAAGTAACAAATTATAGGATAAGAGTTCCCAGCAGCTCGTCCCCTCTCTGCTGCTTTGACTCATAATGAAGCATTAACCAAAGCAGCAATGGATGTCTGTTTTGGCAGAGACTGTCAGCTGACTGCTTGTAGCCTATCACAGGCACCATTAATGGTTTGAATCTGTATGGCTAGAAAGAAGTGTGTAATCTATACCTTAGCCTTACCTCCAGTGGGGACCAGGCTACTATGTAATTACCATGAATAATTTCCTATGTCTTTGCTACGGTGTTTGCAGGGTTTATAATTCAATATGCAAGAATACAAACCTAGCATGCATGTGAATAATATGAATTCTGTTTTGCTTCCCCCATCCCCTCCAGTTGGCATTCTGCTGCACCAGTTTCAGATACTCACTTTCTTACTCATGGAGGCTATGATGGAAATCTGGCTCTCAGTGACACCCATGTGTTCAACACAGGTAATCCTTGACGAAAGGTTTAACATCAAATTGGTGCTGCCCTCTGGCCAAACTTTGCATATATTAAAGTGTTCCTCTACAGTATGTATATTGACTTGATTTACTTTAAAAAAAAAAAAAAAAATTTATTCTTTATTTTTCGTGCTTGATAGCAACAATTAGTAAAGCAAACATGGTAATTTCTAGGTAATAACATATGATTGAATTGTAAAAGCAAGACTTACATTTGTCAGACATGTTGGTAAATTCAGGTTAGTTACAAACCTGGGTGAAGCCAAAGAAATATCTTGTAAAAGGGTATCAATTCTCCCAGGGTACTACAGGCTAGAGTGGAATATTGTTTCGGTGAGGGTGGGTGTGAACGCGTGAGGTAAGTTATGTGGCTCACAGAAATATTTTGTGGTTGTGGTGAAGTTAGTCCCAACGCTTTCATGATGGCAGACGCCCCCCGACATCTGCTGTGAGGGAGTAAGTAGTCTCCTAGCGGGTGGGCCAGAAGATAACCGGTGTGCCCTCATCTGTAGGGTATTCCAGCTTGTCTCAGTGATGTCGTCACCAGTCCGAAGGATTTGTGCTGGAGCAGGGTAGCTCTGGTGAGGTCCTGAAAGAATAGCAGCTGAGAGTTCTCAAACGTCAAGGGTGTCTAGCCCTTCAGGGACATCATGATTTGGATCTTGTAATTCACGGTCACATAGCTTATTAGAACATCCCTCGCCACTGCAGTTTGAGTGCGTTCGGTGCCAGTGACACTGTATATTCCGTACACACTTATTTTCTTGGCTGTTGGTGGAGGGTATCCCCCATAGTTTGATATGCGTTCTGCGTTGTCTGTCCTCCATGGACATTATTTGGGCGGCCAGCACGTGTTTGAAGGCGCAGCACCGAGTCCTGGAGGGTAGCCACATTAGTTTGGACTTCTGTCATAGTGTACATACTTGTATATCTTTTTTGACCATGGCAACGTCAGCTGCCAGTAATTTTTGTATATCCGCTAGGATGATCTTTAGATTACGTTTAGTTGTTGTGGCTAAGTCATCGGGGGACCTTGCATGTAAGGCTGGGTCAGATTGGGGAGTCTTTGAGGTGCTGGGCTCCTGATTATCCGGCCCCTGTGCTGTAGTGGGAGCTCTGCCCTTTGAGTCCCTGTTTGCACCGGCTTTTTTAACATTTCCCTGATATCCCTACCAGGTGTGGTGGTCGTGGCTTTGTGTGCGCCTCTGCTCATGTTCTGTGCTTCTGAGGGGGGTGTTAGGCTGGTATTGCTCAGTCGCACTGTGCGCCTCCCCCAGTCCGCCGAGCAGGGCTTTGAGGCCTATGAGTGGTGATGTGTGGTAGGCCGCAACTTTCCTCCGTCGTCCGGGCTGCTTCAGAGCCTGAAAGAAAGGCATCAAACGGCTCCTTGAGCTTTCCGCAGGTGCAGTTTTTCAGGCTAAATTGGGTGCAGGTTACGGAGCTATTCAGTTAGTCTTTATGTTTTTTGTTTGTTTTTGTTTTTTGTTTTTCATTCCTTGAACAGTGACCGTTTAAGTAAATAACACTTGTGTGCATGCAGAAAACCTTAGTAATGGTAATTTGAAGCTTAAATGGATTTCAGGGAGGACAGTGCAGCTATCAATGATAGTTGTATTCAACAGCAGTTTCTATGGGTTTTGTGTTGGGGAGGGGAGGAGGAGGTGGGTTATTTTAATATTTTGTTTTTATTTTTCCCTCTCTCCTCAAGTCACAAAGACATGGACGTCCTTGGTTCACAATTCCTTGCCTCGTTTACCACGTGCTGGACATTCCATGCTACCACTTCCCAGGGCAAAAGAAGACAAAAATTCGAAGGGAACACCACAGGACCTTCTAATATTTGGAGGAGGAGACAACGAGGGACATTTTTACAGTGATACTGTGAGGCTACATCTTGCAGACCTTCTTGTTCTGTAGATCCTTGCAGTGAGGATAAAGGAACACTATAGTCGCCTAAATTACTTTAGCTAAATAAAGCAGTTTTAGTGTATAGATCATTCCCCTGCAATTTCACTGCTCAATTCACTGTCATTTAGGAGTTAAATCACTTTGTTTCTGTTTATGCAGCCCTAGCCACACCTCCCCTGGCTATGATTGACAGAGCCTGCATGAAAAAAAAACTGGTTTCACTTTCAAACAGATGTAATTTACCTTAAATAATTGTATCTCAATCTCTAAATTGAACTTTAATCACATACAGGAGGCTCTTGCAGGGTCTAGCAAGCTATTAACATAGCAGGGGATAAGAAAATCTTAATTAAACAGAACTTGCAATAAAGAAAGCCTAAATAGGGCTCTCTTTACAGGAAGTGTTTATGGAAGGCTGTGCAAGTCACATGCAGGGAGGTGTGACTAGGGTTCATAAACAAAGGGATTTAACTCCTAAATGGCAGAGGATTGAGCAGTGAGGCTGCAGAGGCATGTTCTATACACCAAAACTGCTTCATTAAGCTAAAGTTGTTCAGGTGACTATAGTGTCCCTTTAAAAGAAAACACCATTGTAGAATAAAAAAAAAGTAATGATTGTTTCTTTTTCTGTTTTTGTTGTTTTTGGCTTTTGTATATGACAATTTCTGATTTTTATGGTGCTTGTACATAGTTCACATATTAAATACTCAATCTTCTTTATACTTGCGTCTCTAGTGTTATTAAAGTGTCAATGACTGGAAGTGCCAATAGTGCATTAAGACTAATTAGGTATTTTCTTGGGAATCAACTAATGTACTCTCTTTGCTCTGACTACCCAACATTTATACTCAATCAACTCATATTCTCCTTTTGTATCTGTTTTAAGTGGATGAATCTGAAAGCTATAATGTAAGGAGGGTAGAACAGTCCTGCATAGTGTTATGCACAGGATAAGTGCTCCCACCCCCCTCCCTCCCCATTCTATGCTGTTGTTAATGGATAATTCCCTGTTATCATGCTTTAAGAAAATGTTGAAATAAAAATAAAGGTAAGACAAAAAGGGGTGGGTGGCTTTATTCCCAAAGATAATAGCTGTGGATTTATTTTAAATCTAACAACTTGTCGGTTTGCAAAATCTCTTAAAAACAAAGTACAGTTTAAGAAATACAACCTTTTCTTCTAAAAACCTGTAATATTTGATAATGTCCACATTCCTAAACAAAGATTGTCACTTATAGGATATTTCATGTGTTTAATGTAGAAACGCACACTTTTTTTTTTTTCTTTTCTTTTAAATCCTGAACATGTTATCTTCCATTCTAGATCCCGGTCAGTCATTGTTAAATAAGATCTGTCCTTTCAACCTAGCAGTAAGTATAGTTTTAAAAAAAAAAAAAAATGTCCGGTCCTGCGGATTGTTGGTGGCGGCTTTCATTCCAGCCTGGGGCGGCAGGAATGCTCCGAGCCTATCCTACCTTAACCTGCATGACCTATCCTACAGATACCTGACATACCAAAGAAAATGCTCCTAAAGGACAATTCTTGAGGATAAGAAGAAATTGCACTGATATAGAAACATTTAATGTACAGTCTATCAAAATTAAAGAAGACTTCCTAGAAAAAGGATATGAAGAATCTAAATTAGAAAAATCAAGATTAGAAATTAAAGAAAGATAAAGAAAAGACCTTATAAAATATAAGGAAAAACAGACAGATGAAATGGGGAAAATACCTTTCATATGCACTTACAGCTCTGAGAATCATAAAGTCAGAAAAATAGTGTCTAGATACTGGCCTATTTTACTCCAAGACCCAGCTCTAAAAACTTTTCTGCCAGACCAGCCTCATTTTATTAATAACCTAAAAGATTCCCTAACATCAAGCTATATAAAAGAAAAACCTAAAAACAATATTACATTTTTGAATTCAGAAAAGGGGTTTTATGGATGCGGACAATGTTTAGCTTGTAAAAGAACAAATAATAAAAAAAGACAAATCAAAAAGTTTGCAACCAATGAAGGTGAGGAATATCAAATCAAAGAATTTATTACATGTCACTCAAAAAATTTAATTTACATCATACGATGCCCTTGCGGTTTAAATTACATAGGAAAAACTACCAGACCCTTACATATAAGAATAGAGGAACATGGCCGTAATATAAGTAAAGGATTCGAGAAACATAGTGTGTCTCTACATTATAAAAACCATCATGACTGCGAATTAAAAGGAATTATATTTTTAGGAATTAAGAAAGTAACTAAAGATTGGAGGGGAGGAGATTTCAATCAAAAATTAAGTAAGATAGAGATGGAATGGATATTCAAACTAAATAGTCTGATTCCAAATGGTCTAAATGCAGACTTCGAAATGTGCCATTTCCTCCTCTAAACTTTAAAATAAGGGCTTTTAAAAAATAAAGGTTTAAATAAAGGTTTAATCTATTGTACACTGAACTAAGATTCTATACTAAAAATAGAAATAAAACGTCTTTCAGATAGATATATATTCCATATTCTCTATAATAATTAGTTTTTATTCAACCCCAGTCTGTACAATGTTTTTTATATTGATTTTATATCAATTTCAACCATGGTAACTTTTTTCTATTTTTTACTCTTGAATTTACAATTCTCTACAATAATAGATACTTTTTAGCTCTCACCCTTGAAGTTTTATTCCTCTGCAATGACTAATGTATGATTATTGTATTGTCTTACTAATGTCTAATGTAAGACCACATTAGTAATTACAAAAGATATATAAAGTCAAATATTACCCACAAATAATTCTTTGTATAAGGAGAATAGCAAATTGTCCGTACAATATGAATTGAATGTGAACAGAATGTACCAATCTAAAAGTATAACAACTGTTTACATGTCCTTTAAATCTATTTTTAACACCTATAACGGAGAGAAACCAGACCGGAGTGCAATAACCACAGTGGAACGCACTGTGGAACGCATGGCTATGAAAACTGCCGAAACCGGAAGTGACGTATCGGCCGAGAAAGAGGAAACAGAGACCAGAATGAGGCTTGGAACGCAGGGTATCTCCGTTACCATGGAGAATACCCACGAAAATCCAAGCATTAACAGCTGTTTCTACAAACGAAGAAGGGTATTTAAAGCAGGAGAAGAGGTCCAGGAGAATATCACAGAATTTAACCAGCTGAAGAAGCCACCTGGCGAAACGCGTTCTGGAAAGCGAAGTGAGCACTGAAAAACTTCATTTTGGACTTTATTGGACTTTATTTCAGCCATATAAGTGTTTTATTTTTTCCACATATATATATATATTTTTATAATGTGTTACAATTTTATAGTCAATAAATGAGATATATTTTTTAATACACTTATGGCTTTTTCCTGCTAATTGAAAGAAGGAGTGTGGTCCTTAAACCACATATGCGCATTGAAGTGAGCCTATAGACTGGCTCTAGGTTTGTGAGTACCAAATTTACTATTTTAAAATTCTCATAATAATACCAACTATACTACACTATATACCCCCTCCTGTATCCATATAGGACTGGATCAAAGAAAGGAGAAGAAGGGAGAGGGTCGCCTATACGGATCCTAAAGCACCTAATTCTGAGCTAGATTTATAGCTCAGAAAATTGTGAGTTGCCACTTGGCCCTTACTTTAAAATTATTTCCACCTATTTACATACTATCTGCACTATGTTATGTATTTTTTCCATTTTTTACTTTAAGGTTAACAAAGAATAACCGATTAACATAGAAGAAAAATTGGGTAAACTTTTTTATTCAATTCTGCACATAAGCGCTACACCGTTACTACCTACTACTTTCTATACCTGACATACCGCCCATGGAGTTGGCGGATTCAGGCAGCAGGTCCATTGCTCATGATTGAGCATGATGGATGCCATTTTGTCTGTATGCAACATCTGAGACGAGCACTTCATGTACCCTTATATTTTATGGTTTTCCTCTTATTTATGAATTAGTGTACAGCAGTGGTGAAGAGAGATCTCTAGGTCCTGTGGATAATTATCCTACTAGTTTTAAAATCCGTTAGTGACACCAACATGTTACTTATACCTGTTATTACTAGTAGGGGCTCGTTTTTCTTCAGCCTGAGTTAGATTCTCTGACAAGCCTGATTAATGCATTTTCTTATGGTTTTTTTTTTTTTTGTTTGTTTGTTTGTTTTTTTGTTTTTTATATTTATTCTACAATGAGGCTGACTTACCTGGGAGTTCTTCACATGTCTTTAACAAATGTCATAATCGTGTTTTTATATAATATATGCTAAGCTAGACAGTACTTGTACCTGTTATAACTCCTTTTTGTTTTCATTGTACTCCTACTCTGCCTCAATAAAACCAAAGATTGACAAAAAATACAAAACATGCACAGATAAGAAACTAGACAGTGTTTATTTTTCCTCATCATTTGTAATGTGTCCTATAAAATAGAATGGTGACTGTCAAGGGTGGCTAGGCTAATGTCGCCATTCCGGACTTCCTTTGCTAGTCCCAGTTCCAGATGTGATTGGTAGTGATTATAGCTCTTCCACTCTGTATAGAAATTCCCCCAATATATTGGATGTAACCTGTCGTATTGGGTTCAAGAAGGGACTGTTTTATTAGGGCCAAGTTCCTGCTTATCTACACAGACCCCCCCCACCCCCCCAGCATGGAGCCTCCATACAGCGCAAGAGTAACCCATGCCCAGGCGTCTGTGTGTGGGAGATATGTGTGTGTACTTTATCTTAACCTAATCATTTCCCAGACACTAGAGATACAATATTTTAAAACAAAACACATATAACACAGGAAGCTCCACGAGCATGGTATTCCTGGATTTGAGTGCCCAAGTTGACCAAATAACGCTCAGATCCATCTCGTGTGGCTAAGTTTTGACCGTTAGAAAAGGGGTAGAGGCCGGTCAACTTTTGGGAGTTTCTATTCGCTTGTAATCGAAGGGTCCCCCTGGCTCGTAGGGAGCAAATGGTCTTGGCTTGTCTGCAGACGGAGTAGGCAGCGGTGCGATTTCCCCAGGATTCACGAGGCAAAGTGTCCAAAGAATAGTTCAACGCACTCGACAACCAATTACTGCTGCCTGCGTTCAGGTGACAAGATGACCGCCATTCACTGAAGCACATGTTTTGGTTATGCGAATGGCAGCCACCCACAGAGAGCACTTGAGTTGTGTTTCCTGTAAAGTTAACAAGCCTGGGGTTGATCTGTGTTTGGTAGTTTAACGTTACTGAACGCAAGTGAACAATTGGGTTCGACAATTTAAGGAGAGTTACATAGGGGCCTGATTCGATAAGTCAATAATAATAATATACCAGTTCACTCTAAAACACCGTAATGAACATACAAATAAAAAAAGCAAAGGTGTTTGTGAATACAATTCAGAATATCAGATAAAATATCCATCTATTTTTCATTGTTAAAACACCAATACTGTCAAGAAGTGAGGAATATCAAAATGCTTATTCGTTTTGGTGGTTTTTACAAACCAAACATAGCAACAAGGAATATCTCAGTGGATGCTATAATGGCAATCACAGAGCATTTTTGGCCTTGAATTATCAACTTGGGAATTGTATACTAAACAGGAAGAAGGTCTTCCCCCGATGCCAGAGATCCGGACCAAAGTAGATTGGAGGACAGACTACTGGGGACGATACCCTTAATTTTTAGATCTTTAGGACCTGCCTACATGCCTTTCTGGCTACTTGT